CGCGGCCCCACCCCTGCCTGATGCCCAGGCTCCAGGGGTCCCAGCTCGGGGAGCCAGGCCTGGGGGGGGCGGCCCACCCCCTCCCCACTGTCCTCACTCCTCTTCTCGCCCAGCCTCCTCTGGGGCCCAGCAAGCATCTTGCCTCCCTCCCCCAGGGTCAGGCCGCGTCCAGGCACAGCTGTCCCCGGGGCCTGGGCCTGGCTGACCCGTCCTTGTCCCTCCATCTGTCCCCACGCCCCTCCCCCAGCAGACATAAACACTGGGTGCCCGGTGGAGCCGGCACGAACACCAGGCCACCACGGGGTGGGTGGCGGCTTCCGGAGCACCCGGATCCAGGTCCCGGCGATGTCGGCCCTCTCTTAACCCCCTGTGGGCGGGGCTCCTCCCCGCCTGGCCGGGCCCTCGGGACCACAGAGGTGGACCTGCCCTTGGGCTACTGAGCCCAGGGGTGGCTCCTTGCCGCTGGGAATGCCAATCAGGAGAGGCAGGTGCTGGTGGGAGGGAAGGCGTTCATCCTAGAGCTGGCAGCCGGCGGAGAAGGGGACTTCACCCCAAAGACCATCTTCACAACCGGCCACGGGCACGGGGTTTTGTGTTTTTAATGACTTTTTATTGGTTTTTAGAGAGAGAGGAAGGGAGAAGGAGAGCGAGCAGTAGGGATGTGAGAGCATAACACGATCGGCCGCCCCCTGCACGCCTGACAGCGAATCGAACCGGCAACCTTAGGACAACACCCAACCAGCTGACCGCAGGGCCAGGGCCGGGCACGGGTTTCAGAAGGAGGGAGAGGAGAGCAGAGCAGATGCAGGGCAGGGGGTGGGAAGGGCTCTGTGCGCAGGCCCGCACGGCCCACTCCGACAAGGGCCTCAGAACTGGTCAAACTGGTGTGTGCCGCCTGGTTCTGTCCATCTGGTCTTCCGGGCGAAGGTCAGCCAGTCTCCGGAGCCGCCGTGCCCGAAGGCCGAGGCTGTGTCTGTCGAAGTTAGTCCCTGGGACTCTCATGTGAAGCTGCTGGGGTTCAGGACAATGTGACCATAACGGGGTGTCTGCGTGACCCACCCACGGCCAGCAGACCCTGCGGGCGAGCAGGCAGCCGCCAGGGATGGAGACAGCGGGCCCTGCAGGGCTGCCCGGGGCTGGGA